CAGTATATCTGGCAACAAGCCTGAAGGGACAACCACTGGAAATACGTAGACAGTTGTCAGCAGACGACAGACACAACTATAGAGCACTGGTAGCTGCTCTAAAACTCAGGTATGGAACCCAAAATCAGTCCGAAGTCTACAGGGCTAGGTTTAGGACTAGAGTCTGTGCTAAAGGAGAGAGCTTGCAAGATCTGGCAAAGGACTTGGAAAGTATGGCACACAAGGCCTACCCAATTGCACGACCCGATGTCCTGAAGTTGTTGCTGAGAGATCAGTTCGTTGATGCCTTGAACTGTCCACAACTGAAGATACAAGTAAAGCAAGCACACCCCTCTAGTATGCAGGATGCAATGGCCAGAGCTCTTGAATTCGAATCATATGTTAAGTCCAGCACAGAGGTACCAAAGTTGGTTCAGTCATCAGGATTCAAGGCCAGAAAAGGTCAGCTTTCAAAGAGGTTTGAGGGACTTTGCTGGCACTGTAACAAACCAGGGGACAAGAGAGCTTAATGCTGGCAACTTCAACACAGGGAAGATTACACAGCAGGAAAGGCTGCTATCCAGAAAGGTTGTTGGAACTTTGGAGAGCAAGGACATATGAGGAGCCAGTGTAAGAAGAACATTACCGATAAGTCAGCTTCGGGAAACCAGTAGTGGTTGGTGCTGAGGGACGCCCATCGTGAAAGTCCCAACAGCTAAGTGTAAAATGGCAAGCACACGTGGTGTCTACATGACAGGAAAGCTGGATGGCCAAGGTGCGACTTTGTCATAGATTCTGCATCTCAGCAAACACTTGTGAGTATCAAGATGCTGGATCACAAAGGAGTACCAGAAGCCATACATAAGCTCTGTGGTGTTACAGGACATTCTGCAAGGTTGTGGGGACCGGTGTGGGTAACTATTGAGCTCATGGGCATGAAGGACAGACACAAAGTATACATGGCTGACATTGAAGACCAATGCATATTAGGGTTGGACTACTTACTATCGAAGAAGTTTGAAATTAATTTTGATAAAATGACGTTTGGGAACAACAAAGGCCAAATTCCGGTAACTGTTAAAAGAGAAGTTGAACTAACTA